GAAGAAAGAAGATCACATGGGTTCTGAACAAGTGAAAGGTGAGTAAACAGTAGCAGTGTGTTCATTTTTGGATAAACTATCCCTTTAATTACGTCCATCATGAACTGATTGGATTGTGTTGGATGAAAACCACATGAAGGCACACTGCATACAATCAGTGCTAATGTGTTAAAAGATAAACAGAAGCCAATGTTGATTAGCATTCACACATTATTTGTCCCACCCACAGCTAAAGCAAGCAGCTTTATGCTGAATATGAACTGATCTCAAAATATCTGCTGGTCGGGAAAAAGTGTTAATCAGTCAATGCCAATATAATAAGGTAGTCAGCTAACAGACAGTTCTCTTGCACTAAATTTATAAGTCGTTCAGGATAAGAGAAAGGATAAAAGGATGATTTGAAATGTTATGGTTATTTTGGGTTATTCTTTGATATCACATCATCAGCTCCACATTTTACACGAATACAAACATAAGCATAGCAAAATACAAAGGACCTGAACCAGAAGCTTTTTAAAAAGAGTATTGAAATTGTTGTGCATAAAACACCATAATAAAATTCAAAACCCCAATTATAGTGGTTCCTATGCCCCGATAATTTTTGTCTGTTTTAAAGAAAATGTGCATTAAATAAATTATTAATATTTGAGCTTGTTGAAGGGATAGTTCACCCAAAAATGAAAATTTGCTGTTAATTTTCATTCATGTAGGACACTGAAGAAGAAGTACACTGCAGCCAAAACTGTTGTCACTATAGTGATTCAGAAACTTCAAGTCAAATTTTCAAGTTAAAATTAAATAAAACATATTTAATCATATTGAAACATATTGAAGATATGTTGAGGTCCTAAGCAAAATGGCTGAAATGAGCATTTTCTGAGGCTATAGATTTACATTTAGACATTTACATTTAGTCATGTAGCAGACACTTTTATCCAAAGCGACTTTTAAATGAGGACAAGGAAGCAATTTACACAACTATAAGAGCAACAATGAATGAGTGCTATAGGCAAGTTTCAGGTCTGTAAAGTCTAAGAAGGAAAGTATTAGTAAATTTTAATAAGGTTATAATGCAGTTAATAATGTTCAGATTCTTAAAGGGATAGGTCACTCAAAAAACTGGTTTCCTCACCTTAAAGTGTTTCTTTTCTCGGTTGAACAGAAGATACTTTGAAAAATGTTAGAAACCAGTGACCATTTTAAAAATTACTATGGAAGTCAATGGTTGCCGCATTCTAACATTTTTCAAAATATCTTCTTTTGTGTTCAACAGAAAAAAGTAAAAACTCAAACAGGTTTTTGATAAGTGAAGTGTCAGTAAATGCTGACCGAAGTTTAAGTTTTTAGTGAACTACCACTTCAAGACCTCAATGTATAATAATATATAAAGAGCCATGGTAATGATTTTGTTTTGCCTGTAAGTTTTTTTGTTTGTTTATTTATTTATTATTATTTTTACTGATAGGACAGCATAGAGAATGGATAGAAAAGCTGACTAGTATGTTTTTATCTTTTCTTAAACTTCCAGTAGCCAGTGAATTGCATTTATGAACAGCAAATCGACGCATTTTCAGCAAATAATCTTCGTTAAATGTTCTGCTAATAAAAACATCACAGCAAAAAGCCAAATTAGAAACATATTCCTAATTTAAGATGAACTATTCCTTTCTTTAACCCATAAACAAAACAGTTTTACAGTGTAATAAAATTATTACAGGCTTGTAAACACTTACAAACTTCCATTTTAGAAAATCGTTATCATTGGCAAAAAACACCATTAATAACAAAAACACTCATCAGCAATTTCAATGAAAAGATTAATGCTGCCAGAGCCTTGAAACAAAACAGACTCAAACACAAGTCAAGCCCAAATGACTGCCTGACCTGAGCCTGTCAAGCCTGTATTCTGTCTGACAGTGTTGAAATGCACCAGCAGATGGGAGTGAGGAGCAGCGTCCCTGAGCTTGTGATGCGATTGAAAGCGAAGTTTCCGCAGAACATTTTAACGACAACACCCGATGGGTTCGCAATGAACGCGACATTGCTTAATCCCATTTAACCGTGCGAATTAGTGTAGCCTGAATGCATTTGGCTGTTTGTCTTCCACTTTAATGAACGACCTATGTTTGCCCCCGCATTCTTCTCCTTTCCTTCTTGATCTGAATTCTTGTTGCAAAGTAGGCCTCTTTCATTAAATATAAAGGGGTTTTGTGCACTTCAAGAAGTCTTCTAGCCTAGAATTATTGTGGGCAACTAAGTGTTGCAGCAAATGTTCATTATAAAACATTGAAAAGTTCCCATGTAACCTCACACAGCTGTTGGAGGCTTGGGAGGCTCAAAACTGTGGTTTAGTGAGGACAGGCTGACAGTTCTTCATCATCTCTTGGTTCCTACAGTTGCGAGATGATGTCAGAGTCCTTGACAACAGAATGCGTGAGAAGGGATCAGCTGCAGAACGGGGAGGACTGATGAATAAACAATCGTGCAGACCCTGCAGCTCTGAAGACTGTCAAGCAAGAGCCGAGACGCGGCCACGATGAGCATACGCCCGACTCAAGGCGAAGGCGATGGCTTTTCTTCCTGATGAGTTTGACAAAGCACTCTGGCCTTCACACAACACTGAGAATGGACGGGATGAAAAATAGAGCTAGTTATGAAAGCACCCAGCAGGCTACGTTTTTGGCATTATGCATTGAATTTTCGATCACTACTTCGATGCCTCTAAAAGACAGAAAGGGGACCACAGCATCAGGTGATAAAATACATTTATTGGAAATTGTGACATGTAAAAAAAATTATAATTTGGCTTTGGGTCAGGTCAGACCACAAATCACATGTACTGACCAAAATAATGTATTTCTCTCATAAATGACAGGTGGGTCGTGTGGGTGAAGATAAATCACAACACATGGTAAATCTGGCAGCTAGACAAATTTCACTTCCTCCGGGAATCCAAGGGAGGGCTTAATAGTATCCATGTGCTACACATCTGCATGGGTTGGATGGTTAGGGGTATTTCGAAAATAAATATTTAATCTGGTGGCACACTCGGGGGTCTATATGCGATGGTAATTCCATGCAAATTGATATCTTCAGTTGGTTTACTTGTGAAAAACGCAACATGATCCCTGAGCTCACAAACAAAATCAATAAAAACAAGGATATTTTCCCCAATGTGTCATACAACTCTTCTGTTTGCGTTACGATTATATAATAATAGCACATTGTATTAAGTCTGAATGCCATCACGTGGTATAGAAAAGTGCTTATAACACCCCTTAAATGAGCACAAATTTTTTTTTATAGATATCTTGATAGATTTCTGTGATCGCTTATCATTGAAATCAAGAATAAAATGGAAAAAGCTGACTGCAAATATAATCTCAAGACAATATAGAATCGAAACTATATATATTTTTTACAGCCGGCAACTAGCTCTCTTTAACTCTCACATGGTCGCCACTGAAGCCAAGCAGGGCTGTGCTCGGTCAGTACCTAGATGGGAGACCACATATGAAACATAGGTTGGTGCCAAAAGTGGTGTTAGTAAGGCCAGCAGGGGGTGCTCAACTTGCGGTCTGTGTGGGTCCTAATGCCCCAGTATATTGAAGGGGAATCTATACAGCTCATTGAGCACCATCTTTCGGATGAGACCTGACTTTCTGTGGTCGTTAAAAATCCCAGGATGTCCTTTGAAAAGAGTAAGGGTTTAACTCCGGCATCCTACCCAAATGTCCCACAGACCTCGGTCCATCATGGCCTCCTAACCATTCTAATATCATAATTGGTTTTATCACTCTTTTTCCTCTCCACCAATCAGCTGGTGTGTGGTGTGCGTTCTGGTGCAATATGGCTGCTGGTGTGTCATCCAGGTGGATGCTGCACACTGGTGGTGGATGAGGAGATTCCCCCGAAAAATGTGTGAAGCGCTTTCAGTGTCCAGACAAGCGCATTATAAATATAAGGAATAATTAATGTATCACCTTGCAATTATAAGGTTCTATCTGCGTTCTGAAGGATTTTGAGATATTGAGTTTTAAAGTTTTTGCATTTCACATAGCAAACAGTATGTGTGTAACATTTGTTTGTTAACTAAAGTATTAAAATGTAAACAACTTTTAAAAAACATCCCATAATGTAAATAAATTGTCATTTAAAAAGAATAGGTCAATAACTCAATTTTGACAAAAATGTCGGATAGAACCTTATACGACAAATTATTATATTATGATTTTACTATTTGGGCCGATTCAAACAATTACTTTTAATAGCCAACTCACATAATGAGTTCAATTAAATGAAGAACAAAACCGAATATGAACTATTTTACTTGAGGTAAAGTCAAAACGTTCCTAAATTATATGTATTTACGATCAGATTCATGACTAAAAAAACAATCAAATTTTAATATTGTAAGCATTTGGCCTCATATTTCCCAGCGTACTACTGTATGTGCGATTTAGTGCTCAGCTTCTATTTTACTCTTGATTTACTGTGTATTAATCAATGAGCTCAGTAATTACTTACAATACGAGTTGGCACAGACACTTTTTTCCCTTTTGTCTTCATTTACCCACTGCTCGTTTGACAGATGAGATCCATTATGTTAAAAATCTGACAATACCTGTGAGCACGGCGAGTTGGCACAGTGATAAAAACCGTTAATGAGTCTCCTTTCTTCAAATGTAGAAAGTAAAGCCCTCTGTTTTGGCTCAGAATAAATATCATGAGTGTTTCCAGTAAGCGAAAAAGCTTTCCTGTCAATCACATGAACGTATGTAGCTCATTAGGCGTGTAAATGATTGCTTCATTATAGCAAACATGCATTAATGCTTTAGTGCAACATAAGACATTTGATCAATGCAAAACGGATGGGTTCTGTAAGGCCATTGACTTGAACTGATCATTGCCAGTAACTAAACACTATATGTGCATACATCGCATGTGCAGTTCTGACTGGGCACCTCTCTTCATGATTTGTCACCATGGAAACACAGGGAGACTATTTGTTTGCTGTTTTTATGTCTGAAGATGAAAAAAAAAAAAACCTTATGACAACCACACATCATTATCCACATTTCACAGAGCAGGTATTCAGGCCATAAGTTGCTTTTTAATTATTGTACTGTTTGGCACATTTAACTCACATTTATGTTTACTGATTACTCTTAATTACCTTAGTGATAATTCACAGTTTCTTTAAAAGTGAAAATCTAATTAAGTGCTGCTTTTTCACACTTGGCAATGCATTTTCTTCTTCTATTTTTTTTTCCTGAAATGCAAAACAGAAATGTGGGAGATTTTGGCTCTAATAAAGAGGACTCATCTGCACAAATGGAAATCTTGCTATCCAGTATATACACACACAAGCATGTTGTCACATGCAAATAGACACAAACACATGCACTCTACTCTTTCTCACCTACTTAACACACACACTCACGCACACACACACACATCCACAACGACATAGTTGCACATTTTGTAACCATACCCAAAAACACATGTACAAAAATCAGTTTGATTATAAAAGATCGTCCAAATTAAAATGTATGGCATGGGATCTTTGCTGCCATATCGAAATGGCAAAAGGACAAACCCAATGGAGCTGGGATGAAACATGAAATGAAGTCTGAGAAGAGGTAAGCAGAGGTTCAACCCTCTTTAAAGGGGAAGAGAAGAAGGTGTATGGGACGGGTGAGAGAGGGAAGTCACAGCAAAGGGACTACACAGTAGCTTAGCTCAGACAAGAGAGGGCCTTTGGGTAATAGCCCTGGGACTACACAGTAGTTTAGCTCAGGCGAGAGAAACAGGTTAGTCATTCACAGGCCTACACGGTTGTCTCGTTTTTCCAAGGCCCAGTCCTAATGTTACCTGTGGAGTCAGACGTAATTGCGTAATCCTCATGTTGACTACTGTTCCGGCTCAGTGTCCCTCTCCGGCTGAGGGTGCCTTTCCTGCCGAGCGTGGCATGGCTCACTCGTGGAGGGGTTATATCCAAATGCAGCATGCTTTCGTCCTCTTTATCTGCCATTTTGGCGCAACTGTACATCAACGATCCCATGTCTGGATCCTCTGCCTGGCAAGGGCTGACAAATGGGTCAGCATTAGGGCAGCATATGCTCGAGAACGGGTCTGCTTTGGCACAGCACATGTGTCTGTGGCAGGAGAGCTGACTGTCCAAGTGTGCGCTATGGCAGGAGAGGCTGTCGTGGAGACCGTGCGAGGCCAGAGTCTCGAGGTGAGGAATGGGACTCGGGCAGCGCAGCTGGTTGTCCGGATGAGGGCTATGACATGACAGCTGGGTGTCCAGGTGTGATGTGTGGCAGGTCAGAGGGTTGTCCAGGTGCACGCTGTGGGGGCTGTCCAGGTGGGAGCTGTGGACGCTTCCGTCCATGCTGGTGGAGGTCATGTGGTAGGAGTAGTCCCTGAGGCAGGGCCGAGGTCGGTTGAAGGAGCGAGTCTTAGATCTGTCCTTCAGGCAGCTCTGAAGGGGAAGGGTTGGCCGGGGCAGTTCATCCGGGAGGGACTGGGGGCGAGTCGAGCTCCCGATTAGAGAAGAAGGACTGTGTAGAGTGGCACAGCAGGTGCTTGTGTGGTTCTGGGTAGAGGGGAGGCTACCCAACTTGCAGTGGGGTGAGAGGTGTGGGGAGAGCAGAGGTTTCCCCAAACAGGATGAGTCAACCTGGCAGTGGATTTGATTCTGCCCGTGAGATGGCGTATGGCTGTGACTTTGTGTAGTTGGAATGGCATTCCCCGCTGCTTCCCCATTGACCTCCACCTTTGGTTTATTAGGACAACAAGCCCACCAGCGATGCCACACATCGTCACGTTTTGCACAGTGCTGAATGAGCAAAAAAAGCCCCAATGTGACCGAAAAGGCTCCATACAGGCAGCTGAAGATCATGTCTAGAAAATGGCCCTGTGATACAGCGAGTGCTCCGAAAACCCAGGTGGCCAGGAAGAGGAAGAGCGTGAAGGCGGTGGCCCTAAGCTGAGCTTTAAACGAGTGCTCGTTGGCCAGCATTGAGGCTGTGATGGCCGTGCAGCCAGTGTGATCGCCGTGCTCACCTGGCTCTCCGCTGACAGCGTGACAGTGGCCAATTTCAGCCACAGCCAGACGCTGCTGTTCTTCTGTCATAGCCTTGAGCTCGTACTTGCGCTCTGGATGCCGCTTTAGCTGTACGTATGTGCACAGAAAGTAGATGCACATTACCAAGACCAAGAAGGCAGTTGGTCCGTAGAAACCCCCCAGACTGGGCTCCCAGGCCATCCAACAGCTGCAGCACAGACAGAGACAGTGATTAAAGTGACAGTGTAGTCACCACTCCACATCTAATTACAGAGCTCATGGTAATTTATAGCATTAATCAGGAAACATCTCCCGGAATCGGTGATTTGACTAAAAATGTTACAGTTGACAGTAGCAGTAAATGTGATACTTACTAAGGGGCGTCATCTCTGCTACCGTAGTTATCCAAGTTAACAGCAGCTGTAACGCCGACTATGATTAGCGGGACCCCACCACTGACCAGATAAAACCTGCCAAAGGAAGAGAAATGAAGTGAGAACAGATTTACACTGTGTTGAAGAAATGTTCCTTTTATGATGTTTCTGCCACTTTTTTATGAAGAATAAAAGGGTAATGTTTGTCAAAAAATAATTTATGTCATTTTTGTTATTAAGATTTGATCAAATCTCAATATACTGACCAATTGCTCACCTTCTGTGGTTTCTATACAAATAGTATCTTTAAAGTAAAATGAATTGAGTTTCTCTAAACATTGAGCACAAGTACAATACACAGAGAAGACTGCTATGGAAACTACATTTTTCAAACAGAAAACAGGTATTTTACTATAGATTGCTATAATATTTCACAATACACTTTTTACCTTATCTTTGATCAAATAAATGCAGCACTGGTGAGCATAAATACATAATAAATACATAAATCTTAATAGTAATATAACAGCTACAAATGATCAAAAACAATACAATTAATATTAACAATAACAAATGTTATTTTATTATTATACTTTCAAAAGAGATGTAGTAGGACCGCCCCACCCCCCAGTGGCATACCATATCTACCCCTCTAAGTGTTTAAAAGCTCTAAATGTCCCGTTTCCTTGCTTGAAGCAACCGTGCCTGGAAACACAGGTGATGTGATAATTTCTGCTGTTGCTGCTTTCACTTTAGCCATTCTTTGAACAGATTTATTAATGAGCCTAACGTTGCAAGGTGTGCATGTGATCATCCTTTCATTGTCGCACATGGATTGTTTTTCACCAGCTTTCTTTTGTTCATAGTTATTTTTGTTAATATGGTTTAATTATCATCCTGTACAATGACATTGTTTTAATACGAGATTAACTCTCCATTTATCTAGAATTTATGTGAACTGGTGATCTGGGATTTTTTAGCAAGTACAGGCTTCTGTGTAAAGTTTTAGATCCATTAGATAATTTTTTAAAAGTCAACTGTTTTTTTTAAGAACATTTTTGTTGAATAAAAATTACATTTAGCTTGTTTTAATCTATTACTTAAAATTTGTGGCAAGGAAATTTTTAGTTTGGTGAGGCCAGAGGCAACAATGTTAAATCTTTAGTGTTGAATCCTAAAAAGACTAATTGTGATTAGACTAATAAAACTAGACTAATAAAACTAACTGCAATGCGACACTATGAAACCACAACCAATTTACTCATGCTCATTGAGCAAGGTCACAACACACAAAAAAAGTGAAATGAACAAGGAGGCATGTGGACATAGCACAAAATTTAAATCAAGTCATTTTAGCATGCCAAAGTAATGCATATAAAATATATTTTCCCAACAAAAAAACTGTGGCTAGTGAAAATAGCGAGTGGCTAGTAACATTGAAAAACTACTGTTCCATCTCAGACCTGACTCTGATGGCTGAGAATTATTGTTATTAAGTTTCACCTCTCTGACTCATAATCTCTCCTTTCTACTTTATAGAAAAACTTCTTACAGGAGCCATGTTCAGTCAAAATAAGATCATCACCATATTACTTAAACATTAGTTTTGTCAACTTGCAAAACTTATTGCCTTCAAAGCATTTACTGGGGCACTGGCAATTTTTACCGGGGCATGTGCCTTTGTAAGTGAGGTCCAGCGATGCCCCTACATAAAAGAATGTCTCTATTTCGAGGCTTTCAACCTCAGAGGATGATCTTGTGAAGCAGTAATGATCCATAGCTACTGCTTGTTGTGTTCTTTTATCACTTGTTGGATTTGTGCTGGTCAGACTTGCAACAGTTCTCCTCCTTCTGCTCTTCTCTGTCTTTTCTCAGTCAACATTCTGGCTGATAGAAGACTGTTTTGAGTACTTGACAGACAAGTCCTGCTGTTAACAGGTTTCGGTTATCAGTCATCTCTGTTAGCTGACTGTTTAAATAACACACAAAAAACCCAGACAAGATCTAGCATCCAGGGCTAGATCTGGACATTGCAATCTCCCAATTACAATAGTTGACCTTCAGTGAATGCGCTGATGCAGTGTACCTAAAAATGGTGGCTTTCGGGCGTGGTTGAGTGGGAGGGTCCCTGTCCTGAGGTATGGGCGGAGCCTTGGACACCTCCTTGCAGACGTTCCTGGCAGTGAAGAGCAGCCACAGCATGCTGGAGAGGGAGGAGTAGTGCAAGATAATGCCAACCTGTCAACAAACAAGATGAAACATTAAACATTAAAGGCTCCTTCAGCAGACACAGAAAACTAAGCATATTTGCTTACTGCCAGCTGCCCAGTATACAGTACATAAGGCCTACTACATTTTAAAGAATAGTGTGTAAAGCTACGGTCACACTAGAGTTTGAGCATGCAAAATTCTGTTGTATGGTGCTGTGAAAAGTGGCATGAATAAACAAGATGATTATTCATTCATTCATTTTCCTTCAGCTTAGTCCCATATTTATCAGGTGCCACCACAGCGGAATGAACCACCAACTATCCTTTCATATGTTTTACGCAGAGGATGGCCTTCCAGGCACAACTCAGTAATGGGAAAACAAAATGATTAGACATTAAAAAGCAAAAGCAATTGCTCCATATTTTAAATTTCTGTACTGAGAGGTCATGTATTGGTCTCACGCAATCACGTGATGCAATTTCGCAGGTCAGAGTTCACCAGCTTAAACTTTACAATGCAGCGAGCTTGCATTTCTTGTCTGCCACATTTGTATAAATGGAAGTCTCTATGGGGCGAAATGTACAGCATACACTATGCAAACTTTTTTTACTACAATGTTGTCACATGACATGCCTGCACTGCAAGTCTTCACAACTTAAAATAAAAAGTTGAATTACAGGTGTGACAAATCAGCACGGGTCAAGTCTAACAAATTAGCAATGATCCCTAGAAACTAGGGATGTAACGGTATTGTAAATACCGTCATACCGCAATATTAATTTTTTTTCGATATTACCGTAGTCGCATGACTCGGTAAAACTATAGGTCTTCTGAGAAAATTTGCTCAGGCGAATGAAGCGAACGGGAGGTAGGGAAAACTACAATTCCCATCAGCCCAGGGGTGGCCATCATCCCTTGCGGTCTGTTGTCGCTACAGATACAGTAATGCGGAAATGGAGTGTGCTGCTAGAAGCGGGCATCAAAAAGAGCTGAAAATGATCGAACCTGAAGCGGGTGTTGTCGCCGCACGCGTACTGAATAGCGGTGTTGTCGCGCGCGTTCTGATCAGCTGTGTTGTGGCGCGCGTTCTGATCAGCTGTGTTGTGGCGCGCGTTCTGATTCTGATCAGCTGTGTTGTGGCGCGCGTTCTGATCAGCTGTGTTGTGGCGCGCGTACTGAATAGCGGTGTTGTTGCGGCGTTCTGGTCAGCTGTGTTGTCGCGCGCGTACTGTAAAGCGGGGAGGGGGGGGTTGAGCGCGCATACTCAAAAGCGGTGTTGTCGCGCGCCTACTGAAGGGCGGGACGGAGGGTGTGACACAGCACACTGTTCAGATTGATACAGACATGAGACCTCTCTCACTCATGGCTTGTCCTCTCAAGTGGGGGAAAGACAATGCACAACGTTACCCACTGCTGTCAACCTGGGCCAAGTCATATCTCTCTTGTCCCAGAAACCTCAGTCCCAAATGAGAGGGTTTTTTTCTGTTGCAGGGGACATTTTAAATGCCCAGAGATACCAGCTTTTACCAGATTATAGTTATATGATAATTTTCCTTAAAACCCATCTCTATCTAAGTGAGTGAGTGATTAAATGTTGAATGTGATGAGTTTTCAACAATACTAAATTGAAACTTTATTTTTTTACATGGTTTAATTATTTTTTGTCATTAAAATTGAAGTTCCTGTTTCAAAGCTTACAGATAGATGGCTAATTTGTATGTCATTGACACTTTTGGCACTTTTTTGGAGTATTTTCATAAGTTTTGTTTTTTCCTGTAAATGATTCAATAATTACCGTACCGTGACATTCATACCGAGGTATTACCGTACCGTGAAATTCTGATACCGTTACATCCCTACTAGAAACATCTCCAAAACTACACTTTTTGGCGAGCATCTATTAAAAAACACTGAACATTGGTTTCAACCACTAAGTGAATATACTTAACTGTGTTTAAGCAGCACTATGATGCTATAGTGATCCGAGAGTGCACATACACTGTGCTTGCTTCTAATGTATTCATCTATCGCTTTGACCTTGAACGTATTAAAACTTGAACATAGTTTCGTTTTAACATATCACTTAGATTCAAGTGAATGAAAGAGCTATACAAATTATGATATTAGATAACAGCTACACTTGAAAAACAGCTACATACATTTCTTTTTTTAGAAGAAATAACTCTTGTAGCCTGAATATTATATGTTCTCCCCTTCCTGTCCACTCAAGCCACATATTCACAATTACTTCCAAGATGAAATATCAGTCAGGGAAATCTGATGCATACATCGAATTTCAGCAGCAGTAGTTGGTGATCCAGGAGTTGTAGGAGTTTGGAGGTGTGAGTAGTGGCGTAGAGGTTTGGTTGGTTGGAAAGTTTTAATTCTGGAAAGCAAATATTTTGTATATATTTATTTAGTTACTTTATGTCTTATATATTTTTGTTTGTTTTGTTGTTTGTTTATTTTGTATATATATTTTGTCTACTTTATTTTTGGGATTTTTGGATTGGACACTTTTTGCACTGTAAATAAACGCACCTTTGCACCATAGTGGTACGTCGGCTGAGCCATCATTTATTTTTGTCTTGTTTCACACATACGCTCTGTGTGACATTAACACATATAGAAAATTTGAATGCGATTTATAGTGCACATATTACATGCTGCCAATATAGTACGAGTTGCATGGTAGTATTTAATTCAAATGCAGCTTGTTTACTAATTTGAGTTAGCAGAGAAAAATATAGTGGGTATTTCGGGTACTGCATGCATGCAGAAATTTTGCATACTATGCTGGCTACTGCAGAAAAAGTAGTATTATAGGACTGCACAATATATCGTTTTAGCATTGATATCGCAATGTGACCACTTGCAATAGTCACATCACGAGTATATGCAATGTTGATTCTGGATTATAATTGATCATTGGGCAAGTGTTTTTTGAGGCCTGTGACTGTGTAAGGGTTTAAAAAGCCTTCAGGCATAACAAATTGTACCATTTGTAACACTGACAAATTAATAATGATCAAAGTTAGTAAAATGTTTATAAAATTAAGACTATGCAATATTATTTTACATTTGATTATTCAATTTCTGTACACCAAAATACAGTTCAACTTCTCTGAACACAATAAAACGCTGTTTATTTCATTTGTATTCTTTTCTTTATTGACTGTATCTATGCTTGTAGATTTGTAGTTTATTATATTTTGTGCATTACACTACAGAAACATCCCAATCAATCAAAAGGTTATAAATTCTTTCAAATACAGTAGATTTTCTTATTTAGCGAAATTGTAGTCATATCGCAATATATATATCGCAGAATAAAAATATTGCAATGTTAGATTTTTCCAATATCATGCAGCACTAATACTATGTCATTTCGAACACTGTGTGTGTGTGTGTGTGTGTGTGTGTGTGTGTGTGTGAGAAAGGATGCAGTGAAGGGGAGATTGAGGTAGTCCTCCTCAGACAGTGAGGTCATGCTGTTGTCCTCTTTGCTCCAATGCACTTACTGCATCCATCCAACCAACCCACACATCTATTATATATATGATATATGTGACATTTATATGGGGCACTGGATGTGAATTATAACATGCTGAGAATCCCTGTCGTGTTTTTTCAATAAAAATGTGTATGTAGACCTGAAATGACAAAGATCAAATTTATGAATTGTATTTTTTATTTTGATAATATAATGAAAATAGAAGATTCTTTAAGCAGTTTTATATAACTGATCTAGCCTTGCATACATCAAGAGACCAGACATGTGCGCTCAATATCAACAAACTTTACCCAAACTTTTACACAGTTGTGTTTTATCTTAAAGCAGGTTTAAGGGTCTTAAATCCTCTCAATCTACCATTACAGCAAACACTAAGACCCATCAAAAAACTTTGACCTGAAAGTGTAAGTTCGCCCGTACTGCCATTGAAAAAAACTGTTATAAAGTCATCTAATAAAGTCTGTAATAAAGCCATCATATTTGTTTTATTTGTGCACAAAAGTATTTTCGTTTCATGATAATTTTCTGATTGAAGCACTGAAGGCATATGGCCTGGAGTCTGGAATCTTGCTGTATATATAAAATGAAGGAGCTTTCAGATTTAAAAACACTTCAACTCAGTAGAAGAATACACGATTACTACAGGTAAAGCTAAGGGTCTGTAAAACTTTTTTAATGTTTTTGAAAGTCCTACTCTAAACAAGGCTGCATTTAATAAAAACTACACAGAACAGTAATATTATGAACTGTGACTTCAATTTAAAACAGCATTCTGTTTTCTGTTCATTGTAGTTTTTTTCCTATGAAGGCAATGCTGAAGTTTTAGCAGGTATTCTTTCTAATATGCTTATTTGGTAGATTTTAATATTGTTATAAATGTTTAAAACATTTATGATGTTCAATATTTTTATAGAAAGTTGTTATTCAGGTTTCTTATTAATAAAATTAAATTATTTTCTGTTGTTGTAAAACTTTTTCTCAATATACTTTACAATGTAGAGACAGTACTAGGTATAATGGCATCATTTGGTTACACATTCATGTCTACATCAGACTGTTTGTCTATTTTTTGCTACACACTTCGGAAAGAAATGCAAGGCAGTGGTGAAATAACACATCATCCTAGTTCATTCATTCATTTTCCTTCGGCTTAGTCCCTTATTTAACAGGGGTTGCCACAGAACGAACCATCAACTATTCCACTATATGTTTTACACAGTGTATGCCCTTTCGGCCTCAACCCAGTACTGGGAAACACCCCATAGATTCTCGCATTCACACACACACACAGCCTGTTAAATTCATTCAATTCACAGACTGCAATTCACCTATATCTCATGTCTTTGGACTGTGGTGGAAACCCACACCAACATGGGGAGAACATGCAAACTCTACACAAAAATGCCAACTGGCCCAGCTGGGACTCGTACTAGTGACCTTCTTGATGTAAGGTGCCAGTGCTAACCACTGAGCCACCGTACCGCCCAGGCCTGGTTCACTTAAAACCAATTCTGGTATAACTTTCTGTTAGTTCATTTCATTTTAAGATAAATGATAAAATTTAAGATAAATTTTTAGAATTAAAGTTTAAAGTACACATCAATTCATATTTTATATATTTAAATTATAGATAATATATTTGTTTTGATCATTTGTTTGTTAGCAGCATGAATGCAAGAATTGCATAATGCAATAAACATTCCATTAGCTGACTAATAACCTGTGTAAAGGCTGTGATCAAAATCAGTGAACACCTTTTTTTTCTAGGGTTGGGGCTTGTGACTACATTTACATGGACATCAGTAATCTAATGATTTGCCTTAATCTGAATATGACAATAATACTATTATGGGGTTTACATGAGTTGTTTTTTAAATGTTCTTTTCATTATCCAGTTTTCACATGTTGTAGCACACAAGTCCATTAATGTCGTTGCGTCATAAAGCTATCTACATTATATTCGAAGTTTCATGTAGTTTGGGGTGTTTCATTTTAAATGTTTTTGCTTTAACTGCAGTTTGGCATTTATACTTTCATTAAAGAAACATTTCATTCATGACCCCGGACAAACTGAGGTATTTAATGCAAGTACTAAGTTGTTTTAATGGAATTACTGTACGCCGAATGAAAAAAAAAAAACCTCTGCATTTCGTGATGCGGGTGTATATGGTCCTTAAAAATCAGAGTATTGTCTAAATCATATTAAAACTAGAGTATTGGTGTCCATGTAAACACAAGTGAAAGTGCCAGATGATGTCACAAGCTGTCAAAGTGCATTCCTCTGCCCAAGTTGATTGTGCCCTCAAATGTTTCATTATGTCTGACGTGTTCCCCCTTACACGCAACTTTTGTAAAGCATCTGCTTTACGTTAGGGTGTCCAAATCCTTGCTTGTATAAAATATAGGCACACTTTAGAAAGTTTAGTTCAAGCAAATTTGATCATGCGTGTTGATGAAGGGAGTCGCTCACTGGATGCGCTGTACTAAGTATGTTGCCTTCTATGCATCACTATGCAAAACAAAAAAATAAGTTTAATATCGCCGATGCTGTTCGTATTCCTCAGTTGTTTAGAATTAAATGTTAAGAGATGGTGTGACACAACATGCACCAATGTGTGCCTTTGATGTACCCCTTGATGCATCTTATATCCTTGTCGCAGCACCAGTGCCATCAAAATTCATATGCTGATTCGGTCCGGTTACATATTGGCACCGGGTTTCAGTACCCAACCCTACCTTCTACTTGTTTCCTTTTCGGGTTTCTTTATTCTGGTGAACACAAAGAAGTTTTTTGGAAGAATGTTGCAGATCTGTAACCATTTTTTTAGTTTGTCCTACAATAAATGTAAATGGTTACAGGTTTGCAACATTTTCAAAATATCATCTTTTTTGTTCAACAGAAAAGAAGAAACTTTCCTGCAAATGGTACAGATCAGCATTTGAATTTAAAGTGAAATAAATTATTTTTTTAAAAAGAAACATGTATAAAAACAAAAACAAACAATATTAGCCAGTGTATTCATGAAATAAATATATATACATTACGTGAGATGTGCTACATCTCAAAAAACATGTTAATCATTATGCATCCAGCCATTAATCTGGTGCTTTTAAACCTAAAGCAGTCAATCAACTGCTTTTATCAACTCAAATACATTTAATAAGCATACTGCTATATTCCTAATCAAATGAATCTAACTCACGGGTCCTGGCTGCAAACGCTCTGTGATGAAGAAAGTGCTACACTTTGAAAGGCAATGGCAATCCTGGAGCCCCAGTGCATTAGACTCTCAACACCGAGCACTCCTGCCAAACAAAGCCCTCTGTGCCTTAGTTAATGTCGACCATGCCAATTCAGGAGTCACAGAGGCCATATGTTAGTGACTCTGAGCTGAGAGCCACAGACACAGGGCATGAATAATGTGGTTCGCTCAGGCCAAAGAAGAACTGGGAGACTTACCACTTGACAGATCACAGGGTACTTGATCTGGTTGATGCCTCCTGCAAACACCCCAAACGTCATGGCAGTGTGGAAGAGGAAGTTGAGGAGCATGTGCCATCCTTTCCTGCTGATTCGGATTATGCTGAAGGGGCAAACACACACACACACACTTCTATCAGTCGAAGAGACAGCCGCTCCATGAGTAATACAGAAGGGAACAAGTATCTGCCTTTGAAGCGCAACGCTATGACTAAAAAAATCTTTCTGACCCCGTCTGCAAAGTGTCTCGAACTGGAGCGGCTCACTAAATTTGGCACTGTCCCTCTAAGGTTGGAAGTGTCCCGCTCTCCATGGAGCAAGCATTACTCACTGAAAATATCTGTGACAGTCAGGGGTGATGATACTATAAATATTGGCTGTCTGACTCAGGATCGCAGCATTATCGTGGCGGCAGTCTGTCCCAAAAAACATTCCCTACTGTGACCTTCCAGTGTTAGTGCTGGTGCTGCACATGGCTATGCTTTGAACGGGGGGAAGCTTTTAACTAGCTTTGATTTATGCAGAAGGTAAAATTGCACCATGTAAAATATAACAACAATTTTAAAGAATTTTGTTGAAGTTCGGCTGCAGAAATACACTGGACCAAAGCAATATAGACATTTGTTCTGATTATTTTTGATCATTTCTTGATTATTCAAGTCTTTAAAACTTGCTTCAGCTGCAATTTATGTGGAAAAAAAGCAAAAAGATTTGTGATCACATTTGTGTTCATCAAAGAATTAATGTAGAATCAATGAAGAAAATGTAAGCAGCACAATTGTTTCAAGATTGGTAATAATAAAAAATGTTTCACAAGAAACATTTGAACATTAGAAACATTTCTTTAAAATTTCACTAAATTCAGGATTGCAATAGGGAGCCAAAAAGCTTTTTTATTGCATGTTTACATGAGATAAAATTAACTTAAAAATACAATAAGCTACAGATACAGTGAGTGAAAGAAAAAATTACTTTGAGCGTGCAGATGACAAAACCCAAACTGACCAATGTTTACACAGATATGTGAAAATGGCAAAAACAATTATGCACTCTGCACAATATATAGTTTTAGCATGGATATCGCAATGTGTGAACACGCAATATTCACATCGCAGGATCTGTAATGTGAAGTCAGTATTACAGTTGACCAGGTACAATCGTGGAGTCATTTCAGTTTAACCATAAAAACGTGAAAGTATTTTTAGTTGTGCGTGTTTTACCCCTTTAACTGCCCCACCAAGAAAAAATCCTAATGTCGCTAGTTAACACACTCATTTTTTTTCAACACATCTCATAATTTTTTTAATTTCAACCTCTACCAAATGGTTGATATAACGGTATGTAATATAATATTATGGTAAAAAGTACCGAAATGAATACATATATTATGAAAAATCTGAAAATATGAAGAGTAAGACCACATTATTAATAAAAAACTCAAAATAAAACATTTTTGAATACCAAATCATCTTTATTTTTGTATGCCATAAACTATTTCAGATTCTCATTTAACATTTTTTTCTTTTTTTTCTTTTTTCTTTTTTACAACAAAACCAAAATCAAGTGTAGTAGTGCAACGGGATGTTTGTTTGATTTTTTTCATTAACCAACAAAGCTTTGTTTGTGAGTCATTATTTAAAACAGTACTTCTTCAAATGACATTAACAGTCATTATTTAAAACAGTCAAAATATGGTCAATCATTTGGTAGAGCAGGCAGTTAAAGGGTTAAGCCCTTTGACTGTGTTTGAAGCATTTGGGCACAAGAAATTATTGCATTTTCTAGCTTTAACAAAAATTTATTTCATTTAATAATGTAGATAATGAAGACTATACAACTTTATTGTATATCTGATCATTTTATTTTTGTATTGCAGTACCTGAATACTGTTAGAATTCTTCATTTATACCATTGCTCTACTGTATTTATCTATGCTGATAATTTATCTAGTATATTTTCTGCAGATGCACTTCTCTAAAAAAATTATTAAAAAGGTGACATGTAAACAGAAAATATTTTTTTTAATCTTACAATATTATTAATTTACTAAATTATCTTCTAATAAATGCAGTCTTGTGAAGCATAAGAGACTTTCTAACAACATATATCTTACCAACATTAAATCTTTGAGTAGTATGACACTACTGAGTAGTGTAAGTAAGGTTATTTTAGAATTTTAATATCAGTGCATACACAATCTCTAACCACAAATCTACTATTTATTTACAAATTTATAATGTATTTGTACTGTACACAGTATTATCCATCTGGGATACACCACCAACTTTCAAACGTTCATGGTCAGTAAAATTAAAAACATGTTAATTAAAATTTCAAATGTTGTTCTATGAAATGTTTCATTCACTAGAATCTTGGGAAAAATACAAAAATATTTTCCAGATTTATTTTTCACCAGCTGCAAATCAAAATAAAAAAACAATGAAATATTTCAATTCAATTTAACCATCAAGGAATACATACTATTTAGGCTACATTTACACAAAATAAATGTACTAACAATTCAACAACACTCACAAAAAAACTTTTAAATAGATCACTGGCATGAAAAAGAGTCAACATTTTTAAATCTCAGAAATCAACTAAAACCATTGCAAACATGCTTAACTACAGTATAGACTAAACCTGTTATATGTATGCATGTAAAGTCACAACAGTATACATTAAAAGTTTAATTTTCAAAAACGTGCCCTTTAAAACCAGTTTTGAAATGTTTGCATTTTGTGGTGAAAGTGTTCTTGTCATATAAATTAAAGGAATAGTTCACCCAAAAATGAAAATTATCCCATTAAATAATTAATTACACCCTCAAGCATTCTCTTTTGCTGTCAGACCAACACAGTCTACGTAGTTTTAAACTCCTGGCTCTCCCATGCTTTTATTTTGAAGATTCCAAAAGCACATAAATCCCATAACCAATATTCCACCAGGGGTTTAACAAACATCTTATGAAGTTGATCGATGTGCTTTTGTAACAGAAATATTTCCAATATTTAAAAGAGTTCAACTTCAACAACTGGTTTTCAGTAATGGCTGAATGCAAATAACGTGAATTATATATATTCAATTTATGACGCATGATGAAAGACATGCATGTGACATTGTAAGCGTAATATACTGCATAGCATTATACAATAATGCCAAGCCGTCTAGTTTTCATGTTCATCATTGTCTTCTGTGGTAAACAAACTGTGTAGTAATTGGTTCTTACAAGAAGAACCTATTCCTGGAGCTTCCTCTACGAATGCATCTTATGTCATGACTCATACATCGCTTAACGTGCATTTGGCCTCCGCCAGAAGTCAGTCTTTGTGTTGTCTGTGGGCTTGCCCTTATTGTCAGCAACATTCATGAAATAATTCCATATTCCAACTTGGCGGATCAACTCTGTCCTCAAACTGTGGGCTGCCACTAAGAGTACCTGTATTTGCAGCCACACCTCGTTTTGTCACTATAAAATGCAGATAGTAATGGGTTGTTCTTGAACGATTCTATCATTTTGAACAAATCTTTTGTATGACTCAAGAACAATGAGTCCTCTCAGAGAGTGATTCATTTACTTGCATGTGCAGGTAGAGTAGAAGATAGCTCCTTTTTCAAGTCCTCTGTTGGGTTTGAATCACATGGAAGACAGAAGCTAATCATATGCATTTAGAGTCTAAAAAAAATTTGATTCATCCTTCTTTCGAAATAAAGTTTATGGTGACCGAACATGGACTGCGGTCGAGGGTGGTTTTACGGCAAACACATAAGCAGCTTAATGCAGTTTTGCTTTACGTGTGGTCGGTGTTTGGAGTTTCTAAAGGACATGGACCAGACGGAAACCCCAGACATACTTCATCAATGTGTTCAATATTTTACTGAGGGCCACTCGTACGTTGAAATCGTGAATATAATGTCTCTTAAAAGTAAATTGAACGGAGCAGGTGTTACGGTTTAACTGGTGTGCGTGTTAACTGGTGCCTTGTTCCAGATGTAAACTATTCACCTTTGCTGATTGCAGATGCGTCCCTTTTTCACAGCATCAAAACATGCCCATACCAAATAAATATTCGTATTACTTGGTGTCAGTGTAAACATTTTAATATTTGTGTTGCAGAACAGTATATAACCAAAATAATGAAAAGAAATAATTATAATTTACAAGTCATCAATGGGATTTGAACCCAAGTCAAAAGGTTCAGCATGAGTATCAATCGCCCTATCAAACTGAGCTATTCAGGACTACACGATGAGGTCGGTTTTGATATTTTTATCAGTCAACACATGTGCTTTGGTTATGGACTTGTGTTAATTTGTTTCCATGTACTTGCGTTTAGATGTTTCTACATACTCTCACGCTGATATTTTCTCGGAATAGCTCTAAATGACAAAATGTTGTTTTATCGCAGTTGGTGAAACCATAATTTTATAGCTGCACTCATGTTAACCTGTGCCTTTGGACTCATTTTAACCTGTGTCAACAAAGTCACACACGAGTACATTCCGAGTCACTTCCGGTGTGTGGTACATTCCCTTTCCGTAAAGAATCTGTTATTGTAAATTTGTTTCGGGACTGGTAAAATTGTTTTGCATCTGTTATTTTTTTTTCTAAAATTTTATATTCATGGTAAAATGTTTTTTCCAATGTAACTGTGTATTAGGATAGGTACAAATGTCCAACATAAGCATAGGGCGCTCATGTTGGATTACCTTTTTATTTTTGAATTGTGAAAGCAAAATTCTCCAACAAGAGTAATTATAGCGCCACCCGATGATGAAAGCAGTTTTACTCATGGAGTCTATTATTTGGTAGTTTGGTCCTTTATTTCAATAATTTGGCAACCGTTAAACGTCATCTGGGAAATGGTTTAAATTTCTGCTTAGTAAAAAACCTTAAGTGTTTAATATTCGACGACACTACATTTAAAAACTATGCTGTTGAGTGTGTAAGGGCATAAGTGCAAAAGGGGATAGTGTATGGTGCTTTTTACTCAGATCTATACTGTATTTAATAATTAATGTCACTAGTGCAGCTTAATGACTAGAAAATGTACCTGTGGTGCACAATGTATGTCATGATAGAAATTAGCAGGCAGAGCAGCATCACTGCAGTGCAGGCGTACACCACTGGGTGCAGATAATCCCCTGGATATGGAGGAAAGGACAGCACCCTCTTCAAATCCTGTCAAGAAAAACACAACAAGGCAAAATTAAGCTATGAAAAACACCAAATGATAAAAAGCCTTTATAATGCGTATAAAGCGGCAGCAGTGTGCTAATTTGTTTTATTATATTATTAATGCATAGTGCTGGTGTCCGTTTCTAGTTAAAACATCTGCAGACTTTTAATTGACCCTTCGTATTGCTTTATTCATGTAGTGCCAGAAGCAATCAGTCTCTCTGTGAATAATGCGTGATGGTTTGGATCCACAACATAAATTAAGCTGTTGGATTAAAGAAACTGACCAGTGAAACGGTTATATCTATCTAAATGTGAAATGAAAAAAAAGGAAGCAAGAGGGAGGGGGAGAACTGAAGAAAGAAAAACAATGGAAGAGAAGAGCGTTGTCCCTGTGAGTCAAAGACTACGCCCCCATACGCATCAATCTCTTTCAGCATGTCTGTTTTATCACCCGGCCCCAAGATCCCCTTTGTTTTGTGCCTGAAGGGCTTCTTCCCCTCTGTAAAGCAGCACCACAGATGTACATACATATCTTTACACTCTAATGGACTGAATATGCTCTGTGCTCCACATTACATCAGCCACTTTTACTTAGTCTTCATTTTTAAATGTGTGACAAATATTCAGAGCTCATTCAACATCATCTTTGCTAGTACAGTGAGTTATATTTAGGTTAAAAAAAAAAAAAACTGAAAGAATGCCATCCCGAACAAGATTGCATATTTTAATTGCTTGATTTTTGTTTTGCATGTAGTTAAAGGTTAAAGATTGACACCAAGTGGTTGAACTAGGTATTGCACTCTTAGTTTAAAACACTTTTTCACTCTGCCCCCTCCTCTGACGACGTCACACAAATGCAGATTGCCAGATTGACGACAACAACAGAAGCAAGCATGCCTGACTATCGAGCCAAACACTGTGTCCTATTTACAAGCAACAACATGCAATAGAAGGATGTTGAGCTTTCCATGATAAAAGGTGTTTTTGTCCTAACCATCAACTAAAATTTCTGTTAGAAATGGCTTATAATTCTCACGTCTGAACAACTGCATAACTGTATGACAATGATTGCCTCAGGTACTGATTATGTGCTTTATTCACTGGTAAATGGTAATAATGTGAGTTTGAATGTCATTTTATGTAACATTTATTATCATCCTGAAATCAGCATCAGATAGTTTACATCAGACCTTGAAGATAAAATGAACACAGTTGAAATTAAACTTTAGAACTGTGACTCAGCATGAATCAGTCCTTCAGCATGTACATTTAATAATGTTAAAGCAGTTCAATATGTATTGCTGCGCACCATTCTGTGCTTCTAAAAGGCTGAACTTAAATGTTCCTGTCGTGTTGCATCTAGTGCAGCCAAAATGCAGCCAAATTGCTTATCACTGCAAATCTTGTCACATTTCTTGTTGTTAGTACACTGTAACAATGCAACCTGCTCACCCAATGTTTAAATTCATGTCATTTATTATATTTGTGAATTTAAAACCATCTCATGTGGAACTCTGAATCTGCATCTCATTTCGGAGGCTGCTACTGTCCACTAGAGGTTGCGTTTTCGGCCTTGAATTCATACTTTAAAAACTTTCATGACTGAAATGAAATGCACTGTTTTCCACCAAGCCAACCATGGGTGCTGAAATATAGCTGGATAAGCTGGCAGTTGGTGGAAAACAGTGCATTTCATTTCAGTCATGAAGGTTTTTGTTGCGTCTAGTGCAGCCAAAATGCAGCCAAACTGCTTATCACTGTGAATCTTGTCACATTTTGTGTTGTTAGTACACTGTAACAATGCAACCTGCTCACCCAATGTTTACATTCATGTCATTTATTATATTTGTGAATTTAAAACCATCTCATGTGGAACTCTGAATCTGCATCTCATTTCGGAGGCTGCTACTGTCCACTAGAGGTTGCGTTTTCAGCCTTAAATTCATACTTTAAAAACTTTCATGACTGAAATGAAATGCACTGTTTTCCACCAAGCCAACCATGGGTGCTGAAATATAGCTGGATAAGCTGGCAGTTGGTGGAAAACAGTGCATTTCATTTCAGTCATGAAGGTTTTTGTTGCGTCTAGTGCAGCCAAAATGCAGCCAAACTGCTTATCACTGTGAATCTTGTCACATTTTGTGTTGTTAGTACACTGTAACAATGCAACCTGCTCACCCAATGTTTACATTCATGTCATTTATTATATTTGTGAATTTAAAACCATCTCATGTGGAACTCTGAATCTGCATCTCATTTCGGAGGCTGCTACTGTCCACTAGAGGTTGCGTTTTCAGCCTTAAATTCATACTTTAAAAACTTTCATGACTGAAATGAAATGCACTGTTTTCCACCAAGCCAACCATGGGTGCTGAAATATAGTTTGATAAGCTGGCAGTTGGTGGAAAACAGTGCATTTCATTTCAGTCATGAAGGTTTTTGTTGCGTCTAGTGCAGCCAAAATGTTTCGTCTAGTGCAGCCAAAATGCAGCCAAACTGCTTATCACTGCGAATCTTGTCACATTTTGTGTTGTTAGGACACTGTTACAATGCAACATTCTCACCCAATGTTTACATTTGTGTTATTTATTTTATTTGTGAATTAAAAACCATCTCATGTGGAACTCTAAATCTCATTTCGGAGGCTGCTACTGTCCACTAGAGGTTGTGTTTTCGGCCTTGATTTCATACTTTAAAAACCTTCATGATTGAAATGAAATGCACTGTTTTCCACCAAGGCAACCCTGGGTGCTGAAATATAGTTGGACAAGCTGGCGGTTGGTGGGTTAGATGTGCTTTCACTGTCCATGAGAGTGAACAGATGTGAAAACAATTTACTATACTTGTAGCAAGACAAAAACATGAAGGCACATTAGAAGATATGTGAAAGAAAAATAGCACTGTCATGAGGGAGGTCATGGCCGAGAGCTGAGGGAACGTTAACACTCATGTCACCGGTCTTTCTCCAGTCCCACAGCTCTCCTCCCTCCCTTCACACTTGTGACAAGTACAACTTCCTGAAATGTTTTAGGTCTCAAATTATGACCGAAGGGAAATCTGGTCACTCCTCTAAAGGATAAATGCTCGAGCTGTATAACTCAGTACCAACGATGGCAAAAGTACACCCAACTAGAGATCTGCGCGGGACTAAATTTTGAATCCCGCTCCCGCCCGCACCTGTCAGATTTTAGCCCGAACCCGATCGCTCCCGCTTATATTAAGCATTTGTTGTCCCGCTGCCCGACCCGCCCGATCCGGCTATAGAGCGGGGGAGAACAAAACCGAAAATCACCCAGTGATACAGTCCAGACAGCCTATAACAAGCTGTCTGTATAAACACACACACTCACAGCACCAAGCACACACACACACACACACAGACAAAGCTCTCTCTCTCATTCGCGCGTGTGCGCACTAAAGGCTGATTTATACTTCTGCGTCAAACACCGGCGTATGCTACGGCGCTGACGCATAGCCCATCGCCGTGGCCGTTGCCGTCACTGACGTGCACCTCTCAAAAATTGTAACTACACGTCGCAACAACGCGTAGCGCAAGCTCTGTGATTGGTCGGCTTGCTAGCGCCGACGAGTCTGGGCGGGACCGAGAGCCGCGCGAATGGCGCGAGCGATTGTTTACAAGTGTGGAGTCCCGTGAAGGAGCTCCGGATGGAAAGTTTTGTTCTTAGTTTACCTCATGGTTAAAGTTGTTGCACGTCCGCTGGTTCCTGCCTCAAAATGAGCGAGTTTGAGTCACTTGTACATCCAGGAAGTGTTCAGAATAGCAAAACAGAAGCGAAGAAACTCGACACAGAGGAACATTTACACCTCACTGCCCACTAGCGTTTCGGAAGTGTTAATGCAGACCAACGGAGACAGCGCGTAGAAGTATAAATGCCCAGCCACGCGCGTTGCCTGCGCCGTGAGTTGCGCCGGTCACTTGACGCAGAAGTATAAACCAGGCTTAACACACACACACACACACACACACACACACACACACACACACACACACACACACACACACACACACACACACACACACAAGCTCCAAGCACACACACAGGCAAAGCTCTCTCTCTCTCATTCGCGCACGCGCGCACACACACACACACACACACACACACCTCTCATTCGCGCGTGCGCACACATACACACACACACACAGCAACAAACAAGCTAAACACAACATCGTGCTATTTCATTTACACACATACATACGCATGCTCGCTTGGGAGTCGGGAGCGATATTGCTAGACAGCCCGCTCCCGTCCCAAATTAAACCCATTACTGACCGCTCCCGTGATTTATTCGGAAATTTAAGTTTCAGAAAAATAAATAGTGGAGTAAAGTACTGATTCCAGTAACCGGCAGCTAGCTCTCTGCAACTCTTGCATTGTCATCTACTAAAGCTCAGTTCAGTACCTAGACGGGAGATCACATGGGAAAACTAGGCTGCTGTTGGAAGTGGTATTAGTGAGACCAGCAGGGGGCGCTCGACCTACAGTCTGTGCGAGTCCTAATGCCCCTGTATTTTGATAGGGACTCTATACTCCTCAGTGATTGCTGTCTTTCAGATGAGATATTAAACCGAGGTCCTGACTCTCTGTGGTCATCAAAAATCCCAGGATGTAATTTGAAATACAGTAGGTGTTTAACCCAGGGATTTGCCCTCTGTCCATTATGGCCTCTTAACCATGCTTATATCATAATTGGCTTCATCCCTCGGTCTCCTCTCCACCAATCAGCTGATGTGTGGTGCGTAAAAGCAATGTGTAAAGCAATTTGAGTGTGCAGAAAAGCGTTATGTAAATGTACGGAATTTGTATACCTATATAAAATCTACTTAAGTACAGCAATAAAGTATTTGTACTTTGTTACTTTCCTTCTCTGTTTATTTATAAAGCAATTTATTCACCTTCTTTTGAAACACAGAAGCACTTAGGATTCATTTGCCTATGGGTAAATAACTATGAATAACAAACAGCAGTAAATGGTTAAAC